TTCTCTCAGTAGTAGCGCCGTCCCCTGGAGAAGCTCCTGCGCAGCGACGTCACCACCGGAAGAGAATCTCCAACGCAGATTTGAAGAAGAATTATACAGATTTGAAGAAGCAGAAATGTCTTCATTACTTGTCACCACCGAGGCTTCCTCTCCCCCCTCCTCTTTCTTTCCCCTCCGTTTTTCGTTTTTCTTCAGTAGTGTCTTTTTTAGGCAAGCTGGAGTGGTTTGGGTGGTGTTTGGGTTGGTAGTGTTTGGGTGGTGTTTGGTTGGTGGTGTGTTGTCAGGTTGGTGTTGGGGTGGGGTTCTCCAGCTCTGCCTTGACTGGTGGCGAAGGTGGTCTCACTCCATGTGGTTTTCGGGTTGTGGTTGCTTGAGGGGGGCGTGCCGTCAAGCAGCCGGAATGCTTGTTGTGGTAGTTGGGCAGGAAGGGTTCCATCGGCAGGTAGGGACCAGATTCTGGTAGTCCTTCCAGTGTTTAATATCAGGGATATCTCCAGCAGGGAGGGCGTGTGTCCGACCCGCATGTGTTCTTCTTGCACACGGCTGCTTTTTGGGCCAGCTTTGTGGTTTGATTTGGAATTGGTGGTTGAGCGGCCCTCTGGTTTCTCTTTCCCAGTTGTTTAATTATTTCAAATAATGGTTAATTATTTCAAATTTTGCAATTTAAGTATCACCCAAAACCAAACAAAATAATATATTAAAGTTTCCAATGAACAATAGCAGTATAAAAGCCAACAAGAGGAGAAAAACTGTGACAGCCTTTCTTCACCACAAAAGTTACATGTAAATGTGTATGCTCATTGATAATAATACAATCAGATATATATAACTATCACCATGAATCCAAATAAACAACAGCAACTGGAGATGGAAATGCTCAGAATTCATTCGAAAAAATGAATTGTCACAAAATTTGATGACCCCTACATGTTCTTCAGTGTCCTCTAAATGCTCGAGGGATCAAGAACCCTGATCCAAAACGTGGTTCAATCACTTTCCAAAATTTGAAAATATGTGATTGATAGATAAAAATTATCATGTTATCGATCATTATAAATAAACAATCGTGCATTGTGACTTGTGACCTGGCCTGTGACTCTTGACTTATGACTTGTGACCTGAGTGACCTGAGCTAGGACTTGTGATATGGGCTGTGACTCTTGACTTGTGACATGAGTTGTGACTTGTGACATGTGACTTGTGACCTGGGTTGTGACCGTAAAAAAAACATGTTAACCGTACAAAAAAAATACAGCGGAGCAGTCGCCGGAAAAATCGACGCCGAAACGGTCGTCGGAATCGGAGTAGTCGTCGGAAAGTTCACCGAGTAGGGCGGTGATCGGAACGGTCGCCGGAGCGGTAGGGGTGATGAAAGTGGGATGGGTTAATTATATTATATTATATTATAATTAAATATTTAATAATAAATTAATTTAATAATTTATTATTTCATAAATAAAATTTTAAATTTTTTTAATAAAAATCTGATTTTGAAAATTTCAAACTTGTTTTCTTATTTTTGAAATATGTTAAACTTATTTTCTTGGATATGTAATCTTCCCTTCAAATAATGCCTCGAACTACTCAGCCCACATTTAAACATTCTTAAGGCTGAACCGGGCTCAATTTCAGCTTGGTGAACTGAACCAACCCAGAGTCATGGGCTCATAGGCTTTATGGATCGATTTTATGTCATTCAATTTTTTATGTCGAATTTTTCTCTAGATTACGTTTTATGCACGAGGAGCGCTTCACCCAAATGTATTTAAAAAAAACTTCAAATGTATTCGTGATATTGAAGCTATTGACATATAACATATGAATGGCTCGATACAATGATTTTCATTAATTAAAATCAATGGAGTAGCTATACTATTTTTCTTTCACTCGAGTTGTCTCATTCGTTTTCTTGACAAAGTCTTAACAAGGCAACATTTAATAACTCTAAATTATATGTACCATTTTTTTCCTTTATTTGGTATTTTTGTCCTGTCGGATTTTTGCCAAATAAAGCTTTTAACAAGTTATTCATAGGGTAAATAGTCAATTCAATGGAAATTTTGTAACTAAAATAGTATTTGCGAAGGATAATTCTTCTTGTACATTAGGGGTGCCATAATGGTGTCCATAATGGACACATGACACCCCTAATGTATTTGTAGCACTTTTCATTTGCGAATAGTCATTGTATTCTTGTAGTCATAATTGTAACTTATAATATCGAGTCTTAGATCTCAATAAAATATACACAAAGTCTATTTACTTCTTTATTTTCTAAAATAATTTGTAACTCGGTCTAAAATAATAAAGGAGAATGAAAATTACTAGGACAACCACCATCTGCTGACTGTTAAAAAATAAATAAATATATATAGTTTACATATAGTAATGTTGAATCCATGATAAGAAAATCCCCACATAATAATTGCAAATAATATTATTTTAAAATTTTCCAACAAATTGATTTGATAGAATTTTTAAAATTTCTTCACTTTGTTGTAAATAACTGACATACCAATTACCATGAATCATAGGACATTCGGAGTTTTAACACATACACAAATAACTAAAGAAAATACCATTTATACACTCCAAAGTGTACATTATGCTTGATATTACCTTCGTTTTAAAAAAATTGTTGGAGGGACATTTTTTTTAAAAATTGTGTCAAACTTGGTGTACAATTGATAAGTGTATTTTATACACTTATTTGGACCTAAAAATATAGATATTTAATAGTTCTTTTGAATAATTATAGCCTTATTTATTGTATACTTCGTTTATTAGATGAAACTCGATAAAAGGAAATGAAATTAAAAGAACAAAGCAAACAATGGTGAAAAAATAACAAGATCCAAAGTTTGAGGATTAAAGTGTAAATACTCAAAAATTGTATCAGACCAGTACATTCGATCTAATAGTACCTTGTGTCAGAATTGAAAAATTCTATGACTCGGACGCCCTAAAGCGTTCATGGTATCATTATTAATATATAAACCAAAACTGTGAAAGCCTAAAAAGATACATGCCCAGTTGAGATGTGATGTGATTCATGATTGCATCGCGATATATAAGGACACGATCTAATACCTTTAGCCAAATTTAGCTCTTAATACAGGATCTTTCTTTTGCCGCATTTCGCTCAAAGGGTTGAAGGGAGATAGTGCATCAAGCTGTTTGCAAGGGCACATTTTCTCCTTGGTCCACAGAGACAAAATTATGAAGATTCGAGAATGTTAGAGATCAATTGGATGCAATTAGAAATCAAAAGGAGTGAAACGTGATCAAAATATGGACATAAATCAATTTTCAATTGCATAAGTATGTTTCAGATTTTTAACTCAAGATTGAAACCAATTTTTGACCTAGTAATCGTTCGAATTGGAAAAACGTTATTTCAAGTGTAAAGTTATAGCCTTTTGAGTTATCTTTACAACTCAATTTGAATAGTCTCAATCGAATAGCGAAAGAGAAAGTTATGATAAAAATACTAAAGAAAGTGCAATGCAGATTTTCACATGTGGTTCCACCAAATTCCACAAATACAGAGTCGCGGCACTAAGGAGCAACCTGAGTGTATCTAGGGCACGTTTTTAACCCGTTTTGAAGCCCATAAAACCTTACATTCGACACAAACGTGATGATGAGTATAAATACAAGTTTTTGATACTTTTGAGGGAGATCTATAGATTGGAAGAGAAAAACAAATAATCATCAAGATCAAATAATAAAAGCTAGGGGTTAAAGGCTTTTAAGATTGAAGAAGATTCTTTGTGCAAAATCCAATTCTTTCCATGATCAAGATTTCAAAACCCAGCTATGAACTCTATACTTTTTATTTTTTTTTTGCATTATTATGAGTAACTAAATTCATAAATAAGGCGAACAATGTAACATATGTGTGACCCTTTAATTTCTTTATTCAAGATTCTAGTTCTTTAAAGCATGTCCTGATTTTATTCATAGATATAATGCTTTGAATTATTTGATCAATTATTCAATGATTTTGTGAAACTATTACGAATCAAGATGTGAGTTTTAGATTTAAACCACATAGTAAAATTTGGTAATTTAGTATAACGTGTAGAGATACATATGCTAATGATTACGGTCATTATATAAATTCTTAGAATTAATACATCGTTTAACTAAGATTAATTCATATAGAAATATGACACTGAATAAGTTAAATAAATTCAATGAAAACTCGAAATGGATAAATTGAACACTTTAGGAAAAATCGACTGAACATTATAATAGTAATTAATCTTGATTGGCGAATTAAAATAAATTCATAGGTAAAATTGTAAGTTTCACCATCCATATTCACACTTTTAAAACCCAAATTCGATAAATTGTGTACGTTAGATAATTTAGTTTAGTTAGAATAATTTAGACACCAATCAAAAATCTCATTATTTGTTTTCGATAAAAATAAAGTTAGAAATAATTTAACTAATTGTTAGATAATAGTCATCGTGGAAACGATATTCAAACTTATTGGTCGACTTTATTACTTATTATGATCCATACACATGCGAAATATAAAAATTGACAAGAATCCAATGTACACGAAGCATGATTGTAAAATTTTCCCAAAATTCAAGTGACACATTAGTTATTCAATCGAATCATGCTTGGTGTACATTTTGGTATACACCCTTCTTTACACAATGTCACATGACATTATCTCATTTGACAGTTTTAAAAACAAAATTATTTTATCATCCAATGATTTTTTGACAACAATCCATTTGTCAACAAGTGTCCAAATTGGGCGTACAAATGGGAAAGTCCAAGATTTTAATCTTGCGATATCCATAGCCTCAAATTCTTTGAGGACCAAGGGCTCATTCTCAATGGATACCATACAATTCTTTCTCTAGCTTATGGCCATTGCAAGCGTTATTTGCAATTGACATATTAACATACAATGGCAAAGGAAAAATCACTAAAAACCCATAGAGAACAATAGTAATAATTTCAGTACGTGCTCTATATCATTCAGAGGAATTGCACCTGGCGTTCTTGGGAAAAGGGTCTAATGTATAATGGCCAAGCCTTCCTGTACGATACAAATTAAGCAATTTTGTAGCAACTCTACCATAATTCTCTTCATGATCAAATTCCTCAGGAAGATGAAAAACTCTCTGCAAAACTTTAAATTCGATTTCAATGAGGCGTGTCAGATCTTCCTCATTTTCCACATTACCAGCAAAAGATGAAATGGCCTCAAAAAGGGCTCGTCGAACATTGTTTACTATGAAATCCTGTACAAACAACCATCTATGCCAATTAGATCAACTAAATATGTAATGCTACGTAATTTTTATCTCATACTCATTTATGATAAATTAGTTAAGTCTGGTGTATCTTCGTTTGATGTAATTGAGGAAATATTACTCTTGTACCTGTGTGTGATCTGTTGGATATTGCCTTTCCTGTCTTTTGCCCAATGCCGAACTGGCAAGAATACTAGCTCCTTGATTTGTTGATGCTTGACCATTTTCAACGACCAACAACTTAACCCATTTCTTGTATTCGTCACTAAAGCTAAGGATAGAGAGAAAATACTGAGCAAGTTCTATTTCTCCAATCACACAATCTCTGATAACTCCTGTTTTGGCCAAAAAATAAAAATAAAAAAATGAAACCCTTGGATGGAAGGCATGTATGTGTTTGTGTATAGGTCTGTGCATGCATGCGAGTGTCATGTATGTGTTTGTGTATAGGACTGTGCATGCATGCGAGTGTCGTGTTTATTTCTAAATTATTTTCCCCTAAGGTGGAAAAATCGACTGTTGTTACTTGGCTTCCTCAGTACAAGCACAGAGAGAAAGATATGTTGGTAAACATACCTGTTAAGGCTAAGTTGGAGCACACTCTATCATCAGTCACCTCGGGAGGCAAGACACCCGGGGTGTCCAAGACATAGATATTAGGATGGCTAGCTATCTGAAGTTGAAAACAGCTGCTTCAGTCCATGCTGGAAAAAAGTTTCACGGGAACTTGGGAAATAATAAAGGAAGAAATATGCTAATGTTATGCAGCTTTGTCGTGTTGATATTTTAAGCCAAGTGAAATAGAAATAAGTTCAAAATCAGAAAACATAAGACAATGGCAAGCTGGAGCCAGAAAATCACCCTACTTTTTACCAGCCAAAACAAGTTGGCCTGAGGAGTGAGGAATAACAGTCAAACTAATGATTATTAACAATAAAAATCTGGCTTGTTGCATTTGAAGAGTCTTCAAAAGAATTCACATGCTTCTCTGAATATCAAATAAATTTTAAAAATGCACGAGAAAAGAATTTCAGACCTTGAAGCTGGTAATATTTTTGGTTTCCCCTGGATATGGACTGATGACAGCATGCTTTAACTTCCCTTTCTCTTCAAAGTAATGAACATACAGCATGGATTTAGAAGCAGCACAAAACTTAACCCAGTAAAAGGGAGACAGAAATTTGGTAATTACATTTAGATGCAAGAGTACACGAAAAGAATTGTGTTCAACAAGATGGTAGTGGAAACGAATTAAGCACCTGCAGCACTGATCCTTCCAACCTGATGCAAAGCATTGGCTAATGCAGATTTGCCAACATTAGGAATGCCGACTAGCATTAACGTTATTGTATGACCAGAAATATCCAATTTCTTCAATTCCCTGACTCTGGCTTGTAGAAAGTTCAAGAACTGCAAGTTGTTAAAATTTCTATATAGTACAGATATGATCATGAAGTCAATTATCAAAAAGCTACTGATGCTGAATATCAGGATAAATACTTGGTTATAAGATTCATAAAACAAAACATCAAGTCAAACAAGAGTCACAAACTTATTTACAAGATTGATCATACATCATTTTAACCTTAATTTATACACGAACAGGAGTCAGCATGCTACAAGACCGTACAATTGTACAGCAAATTTGATCAATAGCTGCATGCGCTGTTTCACATCCATACAAATATAACTGATGTCATTTGAATCTATTCTTTATCTGAATCGGGGCACAAGAGCATGCAACCAGCAACACAATTGAATTAATGAAATTATGGAAAGAACTTATCACATGCATTTTAGAGGTGACAATGGATCAAGTCGAGCCGGCTTGGCCCTCGTTGACACGAGCTCAACTCGTGGCTCGCACGAGCCAAGTATGTACTCGGCTCGGCACACGAGCTTTTTTTTTTTGGTTAAAATTTTTAATTTTTAAAAAAACCCTCCTATTATTTGGGCTTGTGGGATGCAATTTCAACAGATGTAAAACTATACGTTTAGTTTAGTCCATGGTTTAAAAAGGCGGTAGTGAAGCGCGCCTCACTGTGAGGAACATGTAGTATGCCTCGATGCGGTATTTTTGAGGCTAAAAATATGAGGCTCACGCCTCAAGGCCGCGCCTCATTTAAAATATGATTTTTCAATTGTATGAAAAGAAATGACCCTTCTTAAAAAAGAAAAGGGCCCATTTAAAAAGTCATTTTAGGTCCAAACAAAACAAAAAAATACCTAGAAAACTAAACGGAAGCCATAAATTAGAGACAAAAAATGGAACAGATTCAACAGAAATTCAAAAGTCAGAATTCAAGAAGAGTATATCTCAATATACTAATGACTATATATCCTATTTACTATATCCTATCCCAATATGCTAATGGCTATATATCCTTTTTTTTCCATTGCAAATGAAGTGATTTCTAACTTCTGTAACGCTTTTTTTTTTGCTAAATATCTTCTTTCTTTAGGTGGACTATATCTCAATACGCTAATAGCTATATATCCTATTTACTAAATGCTCTAACTTTGATTTTTTTTTTTTGTTTTTTTATTTTATTTTTTTATTCTTTTACTGAGATTTTTTGTT